ATCCCACTTCTAGACATATACCCAATAAAATCAACACATCACAGAGATATCTGCATTCTTCCTGGAGTTCATTATTGCTAATAGCTAAGATCGAGAAATAATGCAAATGTCTATGACAGGTGAACAAAGAAATGTAGTATAAACAGCCTAACTATACTAGATTCTGACACAAGTGACAGAGAAGCATTTTTCATTCTGTATATGGCTGAATTCACTCAGGATAGTATCTTCCAGATTTCATCTGTGATGTATTTGGGCTGGATTCTTAATTTTTACAAAAGCAAAGCAGAATAAGTTTTGTCTCAGGAAGAAAGGAGAAGTGGGGAGTTGTTGGTCAAAGCACACAAAATTTTGACTTATCCAAGACAAATAACTTCTGGAAATCTAATGGTTTATTTTAAGTAATATTCTATCATGCCTTTGAAAGTTGCTAAGAAGGCAAATCCCAGTGCTCTTATGACCAAGAAATGGGAAGAAGACAATGGATTTGTTATTTAGTTAGATTGTGGTAGCCATTTCACAATGTCTTATTCAGGATGCATATCGTTGATACAAAATCCAAACTCTGATATTTTCCAAACAGTGACATTCCATCATGAAAATTAGACAAATATCCACAAATCTGACAAAGCTAGATATAATGGACAATAGACAATTTCATTCATCCCTAGCTCATATGGCCACTCATCAAGACAGAATACATTCTATATTATAAAACATGCCTTAAAACTTAAAACTTAAAAAAAACACTAGAAGTCACCTGAAATATGCTCTTGGACCACAGTGGAACTAAGTTAGAAGTCAATAATACAGGATATCATGTCCGTAATCTCAGCTATTCATGAGACTTAGGTCCAAGTGCTTGATGCCACTCTGGGTAACATAGCATCACATTGTCTCTTACAAAATGAAGTCATTAAGGTACAGTGGATTGTAAAAAAAAAAACCAAAATGTTGAGATTAAATAATACCTGTAGGGGTGAGCCCCATAAAGCTATCTGCCCTAGGGGCAGGGATAAGGAAATTTAGGATAAATTCCTCTGGAAGACAGACACGCTTCTGACCCTCCATCCTTTGTGTGTAAGTTCTTATTCTGGTAAATAAAAATATTATATTCCCTATTGTATTGACCTCTCTCATCAGCCCTAGGGAGGGTAGCTTTATGGGGCTCACCCCTACAATTCCCCTTTTATCCTAAATTTCCTTATTCCCACCCCTAGGGCAGATAGCTTTATGGGGCTCACCCCTACAAATACCCATATCAAAGAAGTCACAAATTCATTAACATTTTTGAATAAAATGGATATGAAAACACAACTATTTAAAATCTGTAAGATTCAGTAAAACCAATATTTAAGCAAAAATTCACACCACTGAATACATATGATAGAAAATTAAACAAATCTAAAATATATTTAAAGCTTATAAAAAGTAAAGGAAACTAAATCCAAACTAAGTGGAAGAAAAGACATTAATAAATATTAGCACAGAAGTCAGTGAAACTGAAAACAGGAACCGAATAGAAAATTTAAAGAAATATTTATTTATTTTTAACACAATAATTAAGAACACAAATTGATACTATTATAAATGTATGAGATGAATACCACTATAGATCTTGTAGACATTTAAGAGATAAAGGGTTATATGGTAACAAATTTGAGAACCTAAGTGACATGATTGTTTCTTAGTTATCTATCCTGTTGCCTGAGGAAATGCCCTTGATGAAAGCAGCTTAATGGAGAGTTTATCTTTGCTTACTGTTCAACAGTACAGTCCATTATATTGGGGAAGGCATGGTGACAGGAGCTTGAGTTGACTATTCACATTGCACCTGCAGTCATGAAGAAGAGAGCCATGAGTGTTTATGCTCACTTATCTTCCTCCTTTTAGTCCAGTGTCCCACCCAGTTCATGGAATGATGCTGCCCAGAGTAAGTGGAGTTTCCCATCTCAATAAAACTAATTAAGATAATCCCTCACAAATGTGTTTCCTAGGTAATTCTAGATACTGTCAAGTTGATTATCAGCATTACAATGACAAATTTTTTAAGGGAACAACCTGCCAAAATTCTCACAAGAAGAAATACAATTTGAATCACAACTCTGTGAGTTCAGATCCGCAGAACACAGAAAAGTCAGGTATGCAGATAACCAGAGATAGCAAGATGGGAGGTGGAGACAGTTTGTAGCTCACTTTCCAGCTAGCCTAGCCTACTTGGTGAAATTCCAGGCCAATGGGAGATCCAGTGTCAAATAAAAAAGGAAGGTGCCTGAGTAATGGTACCTGAGGTTGTCTTTTAAAGTCCACACACATATGCATGTGTGTACCCACATGCAGATATGAACACATATGGAAGCTGCCTTGGTATCAATCCACAGATGAATGAATAAAGAAAATGCAGTCCATATGCACAAATGGAGTTTTATCCAGCCATGAAGAATGAAATAATTCCATTTGCTAAAAAAGTGATGAAACTGGATATCATCATATTAAGAGAAACTAAATCACATGTATAAAGATAATGCTACATGTTTTTTCCTCATTAGTAGATCCTAGAATTCTTTGTAGGTATATAAATTGAAGTGAGGAAATCAGGGGAAGTTAATATAGTCAAAACACAATATGTACTTGGAAGAAACCTTCTCTATGAAATATAACAGTATGTCCAATTAGTCAATAAATAGGGTAGGATCTGGGAGATGGCTCAGCAGGTAAAAGCTCATGCAGCCAAACCTGAACACTTGAGTTTGACTTCTAGGACCTATATGAAAATCTGATGGAAAGAGAAAAATGACTTCTGGATACTGTTCTCTGACCTCCACACACACGCAGTGTGGCATGTACGCACGAACACATGTACACACACACACACTAAACAAATGTAACTTTTCAAATTTTTTTTCTGAGGAAGAGTCTCAAATAACCTAGCCTGAGCCTGATCTAGATCAGCTATACAGCTGAGAATGGCTTTGAATTCCGAATTCTCCTGCCTTTGCCTGCTAAGTGTTAGGATCACACCTATGTACCACCATGCTCATCAATAAATTAAAACATAAAACAGAGGCAGACACTACTGGAAAATGATTATATCCTTGTGAATGAGATTAGTGTTAAAGTCAGAGATGCTCCCACCCCAGGAACTTCTCAGATACTTCATGCGAAGACAGTGAAAAGAGTTCTCTACGAACTGGAAGGGCCTTCATGAGACACTAAATCGGCTGGCACCTCGATCTCTAGGACTTCTCAGCCACCAATATGCTTTAAGGCTTTCTACATCTTCACCATTATATAGTTCCCTTTGCCAGGATTCCTTCCCCCAAACCCCCACTTTAAACCTACATATACTCTCTTCAAGGTACATGTGCTGTTCTTGGAACACTTTGGAACTGTCATTATGCCATGCCTTTTCAAACACGTTTTTGGTTTGAAAGGTCATCCATCCTCTTTTGCCTGAAAAATGCCTTTATTTATTTATTTATTTTGGTTTTATGAGACAGGGTTTCTTTGTATTGGAAAAATGCCTTTATTAATAAAGTTTAGATTAAACACTACCTTTATAGCCATCTCTGTAAGCCTTTCGGGATGATCGGGACAGGTATTCTGGCACTCGGGAGTCACTGAATACTGAGTGTAACACAGCTCAGATAGAAAGATATCCTGGAGCTCGGGAGTCACAGAATACTGTTACACAGCTCAGGTGGAAAGGTATCCTGGTGCTCAGGAGCCACAGAATACTGAGTGTTACACAACTAGGTGGAAAGGTATACTGGAGCTCAGGAGCCAAGACCACCACAGGTTTCAGTAAGCTTAGCAGTTTACAGCCTTGCCTCAGGGAAAGGCTTCCCCAGTGTTTTGGCTCCATTCAAGCAGGACAGGGTCTTCGAGCTGGGGATGTTTGCTCAACATAGCAGTTTTGCTAGGCAGGAGGTTTTTTCAGGGAAGTTGCTACAGTTCAGCTCTACTCTGGAAGAAGGGCGCAGAGTGGAGAGCAGAAAGCTCTGCCAAGGGAAGGCTTCCCTGGCAAAAGTGTTACAGCCCTGCTCACTCTGCCCAGGGTCGTCTCTGCTCTGCCACCACAAAAGAAGAGCTTCACCCAAAGCTCATCAAAGGGGTTTATTGAAAGGAAGCAGCTGGACTGGCTAAGCTGAACATACACAGGGTTTATATAGGGATTCTTGGGGGCGGGGGAAGTTTTTCCAGGGTAGGGATTGGTTCGATTTCAGTGCTGAGTTCAGATTGGCTAGAGCACTGCTAGAGGATTGGCTAGTTTTCTGCACAGGATTAGGGTCAGATTTGGCTCTGGTTTCAGAGCCAAGGTGTGTTTCTTTCTCTGGTCCTTTTTAGCCTTTTGGCTCCAATTTTAGGGCCAGGGTGCATTTCTTTCACTGACTCTGATTCCAGGGACAAAGTGTGTTTCTTTGGCACTGGTTTCAGGGTGAGGGTACATTTCTTTGGTTCTGGTTGCAGGGCCAAAGTGTGTTTCTTTGGCTCTGCTCAGGGTGTGTTTCTTTGACTGGTCCCTTTTCCCTACAGTCCCTGAACACAGAATCATTGTGGCCCTTGCTTGATTTCAGCACCATTGTGTTTATTCCGAAAATATACTAGGCTAATTCTGCAGGAAGGACAGAAAGGAGGGAAGGAGTACTCTGTCAAGGGACTTACCCCAGCAGTGACTGCGGCACTGGGTATTAAGCAAACCATTCAAGCAGCAGTTGGGGGATGGGGATGGATGACTTTTAATTCTTGAGGTGCTACTGTTGCGTTGTGCTCATCTTTCACACAGTTCTATGGACGTGTGTCTGGGGTTGGGACAGCAGAGAAAAGGAGAGACGGGGGAAGGAAGAGAGGGGAAAACGGGATTGAAGAGAAGGTGGACGCAGTGCAGTAAGGGCAGATGGGCGGGCCCACAGTTTTTAGGCTCCACAGTTTTGCAGAGGTCCAGCCCTGCAAGCTGAGAAGAGCAAGGGGTTGGGGGTGGAGGGGAGGTGGGAAGGGGAGGGACCGCAGTCCCTCCCAGCCCGGCGGCCTAGACTGCCTGGCGACCACCTTCTGCCCCACCAAGGCCGGTTCCTCCAGCCGGGACTCAAGTCTGCTGGGGCAGGCTGGGCGTGCAGGGCAGAGCAGCCCCACAGGTGGCGGCGGCTCAAGACGGTTCCCGCCAGGCTAGGCAGTGGAGCGCCGCACAGTGCGCCTTCACGCCTCCCAGCCGCCGCCCAGGCAGTTCCCGGCCAGCGCCAGCAGGCCTGCTCGGTCGATCTTCGAGCCGAAGATGCGGCGGGGCTGGAAGATGGCTCTGACTGGGGGGTTGCGGTGCTGCCGCCGGGTACTGTCCTGGGTGCCAGTGCTCGTTATTGTCCTCGTCGTTCTGTGGTCCTACTATGCCTACGTCTTTGAACTCTGCCTGGGTAAGTGGGGCTGGGCACATAAAGTGGGGAAATTATGCTCTAGCATAATCGGCTGCCCTACCCTTCCCACTGATGTCCCCAGTGCGCTCAGCCCTCACTCTGCGGTTTTCCGGAAAAACTCCCAGTCTCCAACCTTGGGCTTCTCACATTATCTTCCACATTCCTTCCCACGAGGGTCCCACCATGTCGCCGTCGCCTCTCCTCTGGGTTTTCTTATTTTTTTGCCTTACCCACGGTGATTTCCTGGCTCTTCCCACTAGGAACCCCCCCCCCTTACACATGCAGGGTAACCACTTAGGCTGGTAGCTTCTCCTCCTGAGCCTACCCAACCAATTGAGGAAGCACCATATCCTGTGTCCTTAAAGTGCCCGCTCCACCAATGCATCCAACTAAGAGTCCCACCATTTTCCCTTCCTACCAGGTTTCCTTTCATACTGGGAATTCCCTACCAGGAATCCAAAAATATTTCCTGTTCTCTCATTGTAGGCATTTTGACGGATCAGATGGGACAGGTATTCTGGCACTCGGGAGTCACAGAATAATAAGCGTTACATAGCTCAGATGGAAAGGTATCCTGGAGCTCGGGAGCCAAGGACTACTACAGGCTGCAGTAGCATAGCAGCTTACAGCACTGCCTCAGGGAAAGGCTTCCCCAGTGTATCAGCTATGCTCCAGCAGGAGAGGGTCTCCCAGCTGGAGATGTTTGCCCAGTGTTTTGCTCTGGAGAGAATGTTTCCCGGGCAAAGTTGCTACAGTTGAGCTCTGCTCCTGGGAGAGTGGAGCGTGGAGTATAACAACTCCGCTCTACCAGGGGAAGGTTTCCCTGGCAGAAGTGTTACAGCCCTGCTCATTCTGCTCTGCCCAGGGTCCTCTCTGCTCTGCCACAAAAGGTCTTCACCCAAAACTCATAGAAGGGGTTTATTGGGAGGGAAGAATCCAGGAGAGTGGCTGCCCTCTGTCGGAGTGGCAGAGGACAGCCGGGTATGGGGAACACCCACAAGCTGAACAGACACAGGGTTTATATAGGGCTTCCAGGGTGGGGATTTGTCAGATTTCAGTGCTGAGCTCACATTGGATGGAGCTCCTGCTTGAGGATTGGTTAGTTTTCTGCACAGGGTTAGGGTCAGATTTGGCTCTGGTTTTAGGGCCAAAGTGTTTCTTTCTCTGGTCCTTTTTGGCTTTTTGGCTCTAATTTTAGGGTCAGGGTGTATTTCTTTCACTGGCTCTGATTCCAGGGACAAAGTGTGTTTCTTTGGCACTCGTTTTAGGGTAAGGGTACATTTCTTTGGTTCTGGTTGCAGGGCCAAAGTGTTTCTTTGGCTCTGCTCAAGGTGTGTTACTTTGGCTGATCCTTTTTCTCTACACTCAAATTAGTTCAACTTTTCTCCACAATGGGATCCATACCTTCTCTCTGCAATCCTCACACACAGGCCGACATGTTTCACATCTCTGCCCACTTATGATCCTCCAATCAGAACATTCTGTTGTATCTCACTTTTCACACAGTGAAATCCCTCCATACTTCCCTGAGATCCTGGAGTACACACACGCGCGCACGCACACACACACACACACACACACACACACACACACACACGAGAGAGAGAGAGAGAGAGAGAGAGAGAGAGAGAGAGAGAGAGAGACTTTTGTAGGGGTTCTACACAACACTCGCTTCTCATACTAGAGCTCCTAATTGTACTACATTGGGATGCTCTCCAGCCTTTCCACTTTGTGAAGTGTTCAACTTCTTCCCATTAGAGGGCCCACATCATTTTCTGACACATTGCACTAGTGACCCATATTATGACCATGTTTCATCCACTATAATCTCATACTAGAATGTTCTCTTTACACTTCAAAGAGTTCCCACAATCTCTACCATATCCCACTGAAGAGCTTCTCCTTTTTTGTTGTTGTTGCTGGTTTTCTTTTTTATTATATTTTTATGTATAAACAATCTTATTTTACATACCAATTCCAGTTCCCATTCCCTCCCTTCTTCCCATTCTCCCAACCTTCTCCCCAGTTCCCATCCACTCCTCAGAAAGGGTGAGGCCTCCCATGGGGGTCATCAAAGTCTGTCACATCACTTGAGGCAGGACCAAGGCCCTCCCTCCTGTATCTAAGCCGAGCAAGGTATCCCTCCATAGGGAATGGGCTCCTAAAAGCAAGGTCATGAACTAGGGATAAATACTGGTTCACCTACTAGTGGACCCACAGACTGTCCAAGCCTTCCAACTGTCACCCACATTCAGAGGGCCTAGTTCAGTTTATGCAGGTTCCCCAGCTGTCAGTCCCGCAGTCAGTGAGCTCGCACTTGGTTGGGTCAGCAATTTCTGTGGGTTTCCCCATCATGATCTTGACCCCTTTGCTCACATTATTGCTCCTCCCTATGACTGGACTACAGAGTTCCGCTAAGTGCTTAGCTGTGAATCTCTGCATTTTCTTCCATCAGTTACTGGATGAAGGTTCTATTATGACAGTTAAGGTAGTTATCAATCTGATTACAGGGGAAGGGCATTGCTTAGATTTTTAGCTGGGGTCGTCCTTGTGGATCTCTGAACATTTCCCTAGTGCCAGATTTCTCAATAACCCCATAATGAGCCCCTCCTTTTCTAATCCTGATTTATCCTTGTTATCTTTTCTGAGAAACACTCTCCTCACCCTCCAGTGTTTTTCCACTGTTTCCACCAAGTTCTGTCACTATCTGCCTCTGGTGTTTGTCATTGTTTCCTCTAGGAGTGCACTTACCCACTGCCTTCTCAAGCCTGGAAAATTCAGTTCTTTCTTGCTGAAGTTTGTAACACTTTCTGCCTTTCCAATGGGAATATCATTTCTTGTTTCCTCTTTTTAGGCAAACCCTTTTAATGATGCTGGCCTTTTATTATGGCCTGGCCTGCCACACCAAGAGTCACTCTAGTCCTTCCTTATTTATAGTATGGCTCTCACCATATGTCTTGTGCTTTCAAACTCAGAATTCAACATTGTTTCACAACACAAAATCCAAGACTCTTCTTGTATTTACCCAGCACCTACACTTAGATTTCCATGACCCCCTCAGTCCTCTGTCTAATGCATGTGGCCTTATAACATTTTCATAAACTCAAATTAGTTTTCATAAAATATCCTTTCTCCCCTCAAAAGAAATTTCTCAGAAGCCATTACAGAGTCCCCATATCTTTTCTAATGAGATCTCATTAATACCTATTTATCACTTCAGTACTAGAATCCCATTACCAGCACCCTTACACTTGTGACGTGAAATCTCCCCTATTCATTCAATGTGGGGTTCTCAGTGCCACCCCATTAGTATTCCTACTCATTCCACCAAACATCTCTTCAAATTTGCCTTCCCATGACTCATTTATTTCCTCATATCTTAACTTCCCACCTTAAATATTGCAGTTTCTGTGCTACTTTTCAGCCCCAGGACCCAAGTATATTCATAACCTCCTTCTCTCACATATTTGGCAAAACTACACTCTACCCCTACATGTATTTGGGTGAAGTAGGGAGGCAAGAAGTGACCCTGTTTTTCTGATATAAGGTTTCCTTCTAGTCAGTTCTTTACATCAAAATCTGGCTATTTTTTTGGCCTTCGTAACAATGTTACAGAAATACAGAAAGAACTTTTAAAAGTGAGTTCCATTTGTTGCTTTCATACTTAGGCTATTTTCTCTTTCTTCATCTCAGTCTGATATAAAGGTACATTAAGTATACAAAGACTGAGAAGTTGTCCTGCACTCAGATCTTACAGCTTTGGCTTTTTTGAATGATTAACTAAGGGGTCAAAAGTTCAGCTCCATTGTTATTGCATCTCCACTGCTCCTAGGAACAATGCCGCATTGTAAACACCGTTAAACCTTCAAAGTCCTTCAGTAATGACTTACATGAGTTCACCAAGAAGTCATGTTAAAAATCAATAATGATGAGAGTTAACTTACATAGTACTTACTTCATGCCAGAAAAAAATACCTCCATTACTGTAGCTATATTAACTGTATATATATATATATATATATATATATATATATATATATATATCAATTCATTTAATCCTCACAGCTATATAGGGTAGGCACCATTATTATCCCCACTGTGCAGATATGTAAACTGAGTCAATAAACTGAGGTAACACCAAGAGTAAGTGAAAATAATATAGTGTGGTAGCACACACCTGTAGGCCCAGTACTTATGAAGTAGAGGCAAGAGGACCAGGAGTCCAAGGATATCCTCGGCTACATGGAAAGTTTGAAGCCAGAAGGGTTACATAAGACCCTGTCTTACACCCCCCCCAAATTCAGTGCATGTAGTTAGCTTTCTATAAGTTCTTAGTCATGTCATGCCAAAAGCTGCAAGAAAGCTTAGGGTTTCTGTTGCTTTAGCAAATACACTTGCCATATGCCAGGCTTTATTTCTGACTAAGCACAGACACACAAACTGGATACTCTCAACCTTATGAGGTACAGACTGTCATTATGACCAGTTTGAAGACAAGGAAACTGAGGAATGGACTGATTGCTTCATTTATCTAAGATCAGAGACCTAGTAAATTGTTAAACTTCATGCTATTCTAACATGCTGCTTCCTCTCAACTAGCACAGAGGTCAAAACTTGTGCTGGACAGGCCCAGAATAACCTGAAAAAATGTATTTTATTTGGTGGACAGTGAGTTTTTTAAACATTTTTTATCCGTTTTCATTTTTTAAATTAAGCAAAGCCCAGCAAAGTTTCTCAATTTGAGATAGGAGGACCACTTGAGCCTAGGAGTTCAAAACAAGCCTCTATAAATAGGAAGAACCCATCTGTCAAAATAAAAATCAGTAAAGTAATTGGCCTTGATTACTATTTCTGGCTCCACCAATCTATAATGCCATCTTCAATTTATAATATTAAATGTTTTTTAAAGTTTTAAATTAGGTGTGTGTGTGTGTGTGTGTGTGTGTGTTTGTGTGTGTGTGTGGAGGGATATGCTGCAGTCTGCTGTGGAAGTCAGAGGA